CTTCATATTAGTGACAAACTTTGGTGTTTTTTAATGAGTTACTTTCATTTTTGCTTCTATTTTTCATTTAAAATATGGCCGTGTCCAAAACGGCAGGCCGGGTCCTCCAACCGAATTCGTCGGCCACATACGTCACAGCGCCGCAACGAAGGTCCCCGATTTGAAGGACTGGTCCGATGGATCCTTCCCGGCCCAGCATATCCCATAATGCATTGCGGCCCGACCGGAGATTTGTTTAAGCTAGTAATGGCGGACGAAGCGAGAGAAAAGAATACGTTTTAAATAAAAAATATGGTGATATGGAAATTTAAAAAATTAGCGGTTGTAATTCTAATACTTTTATCATTTGTATGGACATGTTTTTAAATATTATTTTTTCGTCATAAAAAGCGTGAAATAAACATGCACCTACAGCGGGTCAATTAGTTCTTCAAATGTTACSTTTAAGTTAATTTTATAGTTTTGTGATATTAATAATGCCAATATATTGATATTTTTCTAGTTTTGATTTAAGTTTGCTTGTTTAGCGTCGTCACAGTTGCTAGGTGACATGACGTACGCCGGGGTAAGGAGGGGAGGCTAGACCGTCCAAATTCACAGACACTTTTTTTTCCGGTTTTCCCGGTCTACCAAGGACCCGGCCCGCTGCGACCGGGAAGTCTGGGTCCTCCGGAGGACCCGGCCTGTCGATTTGGACACAGCCATTACTGTCCTGAAACAGGAAGTCAGAGCCTGCGTTTGACCTCTGACCTCTGGTGTCTGCCCCTCAGAGCGAGCGTGCTGAGCGTGGAGGACATGCAGCGGCACCGGCCCGCCTCCCCGCAGGACGGGAAGGTAAAGCTCAGAGCTCTGATGTTCTGCTGTGGTCCTGGTCCAGGTGTTTCTGTAACTTCTGTTGTTTTTATCCAGTCTCCTCACTTCAGGAACTTCAGCCCTGGGTCCTCCAGGACCTACGAGAACAGGCCCAACCACAACCTGGGGTCTGGGAGCAAGCTGGGTCCTAAAAGACTCGGGTCAGTTCTGGTTCTTACTGTGTACTGGTTCCATTGTGTTTCTGCTCTCTTTTGATTGTTTAATATAATGCTGAGTCATTCTGGAATGACCGAGTAAAATGCTTGGTGATTCAGCAGATTTCAGAAGTATTGAAGGAACAAGAAACCTCCAGACAAAAAAAGCAAACATACACAAATCAAATCAAAATGAAACAAATCCAAGTTTCAGCTGACAGATTAACCACTTCCTGTTTTATCCGGTCTTCTACTGGACTCATCTGTCCCTGTCCTACAGAGACGTCCCACTCGCAGCACCGACATCCTCCCCCATGTCCTCCAGGAATGACTACATGATCTTCAGTCCAGCTCTTCATCAAGGGATCGTCATTCAGGGACGGCACTTTCAGCACGCCCAGGTTCCCACGAGCATCCGAAAACCACTCCAAAGGTAGGACCAGAACCTGAACAGGGTCTTACTGGGTCCAACAGGGTCTGTTTTGTATTAGTCGTACAGCCCTCCTGCTGTCCTGATCCGAGGACCCGTACTCTCTGGACTTGTGTTCTTTTGTTTTTAAAGTGTAAAAACCCTAAAAGGAGGTTATATTGATGTGGTCCTGCAGGAATGACCTGTCCTCAACACAGCAAGTTGTAGAAGTGGACAGCATTGTCCTCACCTGTCCAGAAGTCCCAGGTAGAGTTCATGTCAGTTGGACAGAAAACTTTAATTAAATTTGTTAACTGATTACATTTTCCTCTTGTTCTGTCAGAGGATACTCCAATCATTAAACGTCGAGTTCAGCAGAAGAAGAAACCGTTTGATGACAACTGTGTCTCTTCTCATTTCAAAGTAACCGAGGTGAGTCAAGCTGAGCCTCCAGGCTGGGACTGCAGTTCCCACAATTCACAGCATGTGTACAGGTCAGTCACCAGGTGTGAAAGATAAGGTATTCTGTGACACGCAGTCACTTTGACTTCAAACTGTCAACACCATGAGGACAACCAGGTGCTGATGGGCCTGGAGTGTTTCTACCCAAGCTGCAGCAGGTACCAACAGGACCAAAACCAACCCGACCAAGCCTGATAGATCCATGTTGTTACCTGCTGCTGCTCAGGTTGTTCAGCACAGAAAACCAGGACCTGAGCTGCTTCTGGGTCAGAACAGAACCCTCAGGATCCATTTTTGAATTAGAGACAAGAGACACTAAAACATTCCTCAAACACAGAAGGAAGATGTATTTTCATCTTTTTGTTTGAAGTAATGAGAAATCTGTCAAACCACTGGATCAGTTTTTCACTCATTGCCTGTCCATCACCTGTCCAACATCTGTCCATCACCTGTCCATCACATGCAACACATGTTCAACACCTGTTCATCACATGCAACACATGTTCAACACCTGTCCATCACATGCAACACATGTTCAACACCTGTCCATCACATGTTCAACACCTGTTCAACACCTGTCCATCACATGTTCAACACCTGTTCAACACCTGTCCAACACATGTCCATCACATGTTCAACACCTGTTCAACACATGTCCATCACATGTTCAACACATGTTCAACACCTGTTCAACACATGTCCATCACATGCAACACATGTTCAACACCTGTCCATCACATGTTCAACACCTGTTCAACACCTGTCCATCACCTGTCCATCACCTGTTCAACACCTGTCCATCACATGTGCAACACCTGTCCATCACATGTTCAACACCTGTTCAACACATGTTCAACACCTGCAACACATGTTCAACACCTGTCCA